ACGTTGATAGCCGTTGGCTTCGTTCCATCCAATGGAACCAGTTTTCAGCCACTCCATCCATCTAGAAGGACGTCAATGTAAGCTTATCCCCATCACTCAAATTGTGGAATCCATAGAATTGCTGAATCTTGTGTATCCATGGTTCTGGGTTCCCTCCTGCAAATCTAGGTACTGTGAATTTTACCGATTTATATGCATTACTTCCAAAGAAAGTGTTTAATCGTGATTCATTGCTGCTTCCACCCTTATGCTCAGATTTGCCTTTTTGATTCTGATCCAACTTGGCCTCCATTAATGTTAATTTTAGGTTCATGCTCTGGAGCAAATCCCCAAAGGCATTGAACTGTTCTTCGTGACGAGCAAGTTTGGCCACACACTCTTCCATCATATTCGTTTTTACTGTGGAGCGAGTTCCTTCCGCCATTTTTCTTGAGGAAGTTGTCTCTCAATGAAAAGAGCACCAAATGATAAATTCAACTATCTAGACAATCAATACAGAAAGAAAAACATACGAAAATTGATATTAGCAACGACAATTCAAGGATGCCGGCAACTCCAGAAGGTTTTTGCAAGGAAGAAGGAGAAGTTTGTTACAAGATATTTAGCTAAAAACCCCTAGTGGTCCCCTACTAACCTATATAGCAACAGAATCCAAATTGCAGAATGAAACTAAGGATGGGCCTATGTATACCATAAGCCCGTTATTTATACTACTCTTGCTGATCAGCCCATCATGGGCTCTTCCAACTCACAGCCCATAATCCACTTCCATCTATCTCGTTCAACCACCTGTTAGTATTAGAGTCCATCAACTAGCCACCTGTCTTCATCACTCACCCACCATCTAGACACCTGTCAGCATCACAAAGTCCCTAAGCCATTGAGGTGTCCGCTTCTCTCTCTTCTTTGCCCAACGTTGTTCATCTTTGTTCGTGTCCCCTTCCCTCTGTCTTTCGTGGTCTATTTTACCTTCCATAGCTACTGAGCTTGTGAGGTCTGTAGGACCATTTGGGAGGTTCATATCATATTCTTACCCCTATTTATGTTGCAAATTTTTTCCATCGACTTTTAAAATGATGCTCTTTCCAAAGTTGTGATATACCATTTGGAATAAATATGTAGCCCAATGATTTTTAAATTTGATTTTGATTTATTGTTAATGTTAACTTTCTAAACTATCATCAAATTATGTGTTACACATGCATGTCATCTTCATTAAATAAATTTGAGTATATAAGACACTGGATTATGGCATCATCGCATCATGCCAGATCAACTTGCTCATCTTTTTGATCAAGACCTTCAGGGGTTATAGATCCTGCATAGGTTGTTAGTTTTCTGTTAGTTTCTTTTGTGTTTTGTTTGGGGCTATGCCCCTTATTGTTATAAAAAAAAAAAAAGAGTATATAAGAGATGGTGTAACTGATAAGTAAACTGGACCTTTATAACTAAACTGCCTTACACTGTCAATAAAGTTCATAGACAAAAACTTGTAGGATAGGATGGTCAAACCACACTTAACAATAATAAGTAAATAATCTCGTAAAATGACTTAAGTACGCATTTAACTTTAAAGTAATTATCATGATATTTAAAATCGTTTAATAAACAGTATAAAGCAATTGTCATATTATATTTATTTATATATTTATAGAAAAAGATATATTTACAATTTTTTTTTTTTACAAACTCAATTATATATTCCGAAGAATACATAATTGAGTTTTAAATAAAAAAATTTATAAATATAACCCTCTCCTATATTTATTATATTTTTACAAAAATTCAATTTAGCCTGTTTAATTATTGATATACCGATTGAACTAATTATCCATTGACCTAGTTCAGGCTTAATAACAACCGTATAAAAAATATTATTCAATGTACAAATTTGTCATTAGAATCATTATACTACCTGTGTGACTGTGTCATATAAGTGTTGGTGTGACCCAACGTACATTTTAAAGGGACATAATGGTGGAACAAGGGAGGGTTCGAAATTTACAGAAATCTTTAATTGTAATTCGTAAGTATAATTTCTATTTTTTTTTCATAAAAAAAATTGTATTATAATTTTTCCCTTCTTAAAAAATATTTCCCGCTCCCTCGTTAAGCGACATAATTATTCAAAGCAACGTTATACTATATTACGTAGAAAGATAGTCACAAAACATTTAATTTCCCTATTTTCTTACACACACATATATATCATATATATTACGTAGAAAGATAGTCACAAAACATTTAATTTCCATATTTTCTTACACACACATATATATATATATATATATATGATTCATCTAATCTCATATTACATGAAAGAAGATATCTTATGTTGTAGAGACAAATGTGATGGGGCTCACTATTTACAAAAAAAGGAAAAAAAAAAGTCACGATTTTCGATGGATCTACAGGAGATAAACTACTCTTATGCTGCTTAAGAGTAGTATTTTCTATATATATAAAAGACAAGATCTTTTGACACCAAATCACAACCGTTATATATATATATATGATAAAATCATTTCTAAATTTAGTGCTTTAAAGTCACTTAACGTACAACAATAATAGATGTATAGTTATGATTTCCTACATTTAATACTTTCACGTATATATATGGTAAATATTTGACTACAGCACATGCAGCAGCTGCAGAAATATAAATATAAATATATGCGAAACTGCTATTTTCTTACTATCTCTTACTACAAATTTTGTTATCCTTGGATCAAAATCAAATCAATAATTATAAAATAACATCAAATTAGAGCCGTTATTTGATTTTGATCGAACGATAACAAAATTGATAATAAGAAAAAAAGGTAGTACATATAACCTTTTATATATATAACATATATATATATATATATATATATATATATATATATATATATATAGGGTTTTATAAGAGTTATGTTGTAGAAAAAGTAATTGTGTAATGTTATAGAGATTCGTTTTGCGTGCCGTAATTTTCTTTTTTTATTTTTTCTTCAAAAAGTATGGGTCTCACAAAATGTTGTGTGTATAAGAAAGTTTGTTGTGTCATGTTAAATGACAAATACAAACCCCATATATAACATTTTCTTGTGAAAACAAATATGTAAGTTTATGTACACATAAAAAATTGTAAATGTGTTATCAAAAAAAAAAAAAAATTGTAAATGTAACTTTTTTTTATACGATAATGTCTTAAAAAACAATGAATAAATTATCTTATTCCAAAATCAAAACATGCTATATATGAGATAAAGGGATAATTTATAATAATACTTATACACGAAAGAAGAATTTTTTTGGGTACGATTCTATACTATTTTTAGTTTCTTTATAAACGCATGTTTAGTGTTTACCTTAAATTATTTAGTAAATTTCGATTATGATATATTTTAGATTAAATTAGGAGTAAATATATTTTTATTTGCTCACTTTTGATATAAGCTCATATTGATTTTTTTAATACATATAATAAATTATAGATACTCAAATCAATAATTAAGACATGTAAAGATAAGTTACTTGAGAAAAATATATTGTAACATAAAACATATTGATTATTGATCTGACTGCACCGATCTAAATTATTTTTTTCCCTCAAACAAATAGATGTAATAAATTAATCTTAGCTCTTTGAATACTTGATTCATATAAATGCTATAGAAAGATAATAGGTCATCATCATAAGTCATAACTAGGGTGAAAGTGGACTGGGTTCGGCCAAATTTTTGTCCCGAAAAGTCCAAGCCTATGTAAAAAAAATTTATTTTGGCCTGACCAAAGCTTGGTACAAGTCTAATTATTAGCCTGATTTGACCCGTTTATAAAAAAATAAAGAGTCTGACATAACCTGTTAGCCTGTTGATTTTTAACTTCCAAGCAGAACCATGAATCAACTTTACAAAATACTCAAATTTTGTTGCTAAACCAAAAATCATAATTTCAACATTCAAAAAGAATCATGAATCACAACAAAACTCATATAATCTGCATTTAAGTCACTTTCAAAAGCAAAATGCTCAAACTAAATAACATATATTTCATCAAATCCAACAAACAAGTTCATACTATGTAAATTAAAATAACTACATGAATCTAACAAACACTCCTTCATAAGAAATAAAGTCAGATTTCTATTAAAATATAATCAAGTTATATATAATTGCAATTGAATAAATTTATATCTTTTATTTTTTCTTGAAGGCATACTTATTATATTTTATTTTATTTAAAATAAATAGTACAATATAGGCCAGCCTGCAGGCTTATAGGCCAGACCTTGTGAAAATGGGCCTACGGCCTTTTTATTAAACAAGTATTTTCAAAGCTCAAGCTTGACCTATTTTATAAAATATACTAGGTCAAGTCTGGCCTGACGTAGGCCGAGACGTAGGCCCTGTAGGCCGACCCGATCTAGTTTCACCCGTAATGATAACCATACACTCATGTAAATTAAGAATGATATATATATATATATATATATATATATATATGCAAGTCAAAATATAACCTTAATTAACTAAATGGAAAGAAAAGAAACGGCTGGATGCCATCCATGTATGGCCTGGAAGATAATAATCAGATTTAACTGATTTCAACCCAAAAACTGGAATTTGAGTTCCACATTTTTGGGAATCCATCTAAAAGGATTCCTCGTAATTAAGTCCACTCAAATCTCCCCCTTTTTCTCTCCGAGATTTCTCATCATTTTTCCATTGCCGCCAAACATGGCTTCCTCTTCTTTTCATCTTTTCCTGTTAATCTCCTCGCCATCCTTATAGACTCCGGTCCCCTCCTTCTGGGGTCCTTCAATCTTATTTGAGGGACCCTCCCTTCGTCCTTTGTCTTTCAACTTACCAAAAGAGTTTCTTCTTTGGCATTGTTTTTGGATGACAATATTAATATTGTTTAGACCCAAGACTTAATAAATATATTTATTAATTTCTTCCAACAGAAATCCTTCTGCGAGGTTGTTTATTTGATTTATACCGTGGAAGGTTGGAAGCATGAGTTGTTGTTTCCCGTGTTGTGGCTATTATAAAAGCCAAAGCAAGTGGGAGCACGAATCTAGTACACCGCAGGAAAATAATGTAACAGCAAAAACACCAGGTAATATAAGTTTCCAAATAGATGTATATTTGTTTATTTCATCAAATACTATATCATTCATATACGTAAAACTTGTCAGGATAAGGATTTATTTGTTTTATTTATTTGATAAATCAAGATAAAAGATTCATGAATCATAAGAAAGAGTGACAAAATGGAATTGAATTATCTAATCAATTTCTGAAAGCCAATAGCAATTTTTTAAAACGTTGTGGTTCGTTCTGTTGACATGCAGATATGAAGAAACAAAGGCCAGACGAACAAATCCAAGTTGACACTGCAAATATCAACGCAAAAAATTTCACTTTCCGTGAGCTAGCAACTGCAACAAAGAATTTCCGTCAAGAATGTGTGATTGGTGAAGTAGGCTTCGGCAGGGTCTACAAAGGTGTAATTCCTGCAACAGGACAGGTGATAAGCCCTTTGAGTTTTAACTTTAAATTGCAGAAAGAGAAACTTAATGATTATATATATATATATATATATTTTTTGGAAAAAGTGTGTATAATTTTGAAGGATGTAAAGTTGTGTCATTTTAAGAGAGAGAAAGAGATAGATAAAGGAGGAGAGAGAGTTGACAAAAAAAATAAAGTTGTGGGTCCCACCTCTTTGTGAGAGTAAAATGATGTAAGTTGTGTAATTTAAATGTATAGACACTTTTCCCATATTTTTTGCTTGATCATTTGTTTCTTTGGAGCCTTCAGGTGGTGGCCGTGAAACAATTCGACCGACATGGGATGCAAGGAAGTAAGGAATTTCTGGCTGAGGTTTCGACCCTAAGTTTCTTGCACCATGAAAATCTGGTCAATCTCATTGGTTATTGTGCTGATGGTGATCAACGTCTTTTGGTGTATGAATTCATTCTTGGGCGTACTCTAGAAGACCATCTTTTTGGTAGTTATCTTTCCTTCTTTACATAACCTCTCAATCAAATCTTGAGTTTTTAATCCCATTATGTATGTTATAGAAGTATATAAATCATTCACGGGCTTTCACTTAACAGCTTAAATTTTTGCGTTGAATTAGTTCTTTACATAGTATCAGAGCCTCGATGTCACGGGTTCAATTCTTATCGCTCTCTACTTTTTTCTTGTAAAATTTCTTAAAACAAGTGGGAGATGGGTGAACCTGTGTATTATTAACCATTCATGTCCAACGGGCTCTTGTGTGATTGTGTGAGGGTGTATATAAACCATATATTTACTCTTAGTTTTGGGAAGAGCATGTCTCCTTGTTTTTTTGGTTGCAATCTAAAATGTAGCACTTGTGTGCTTTTTTGGCAGATAATAATGGGAATCAACCAGCATTAAATTGGTTCTACAGAATGAAAGTAGCAGCGGGTGCATCTAAAGGACTAGAGTACTTGCATGACATTGCCAATCCCCCAGTTATATACCGGGACTTGAAAGCATCCAACGTCTTGCTGGATCCTGATCTTAATACAAAACTAATGGATTTTGGAATGGCAAGGTTTTCTGGTGAAGACAAGATGAACCATGCACCTCCAAGAGTTATGGGTACCTATGGTCACTGTGCTCCAGAGTATGTAAGAACAGGACAATACACCTTGAAATCAGATGTATACAGTTTCGGAGTTGTCTTGCTAGAACTCATAACTGGACGTCGTGCCATTGACACCACAAGACCAAACAATGAACAAAACTTAGTTTCATGGGTAACATATATATATATATGGCAATCTCTTTTGCATGTTGATGTTGTTGTTTTTCCCCTTATATCAATTAAATTTCCTTTTTGTGATTGAACAGGCACAACCCTTATTCAGGGACCCAAAAAGATATCCAGATATGGCAGATCCACGTCTTAATAAACAGTTCCCAGAAAAGGATCTCAATCAAGCTGTTGCAATAGCTGCCATGTGCTTACAGGATGAACCAGAAGCACGTCCTTTTATCAGTGATGTTGTAACTGCTCTGAGTTTTCTTTCAACGGCTCCCCCAGATGTTGTTTCAGCTTCTCTACCACCTGCCACCTCGGTCTCTAAGGAGAGTTGGTCTGATGAAAGCCAAAGCGAAAGCGGAACAGAAAGTGAGAGCCAAAGTGAAAGTGGAAGTGAGAGTGGAAGTGAAGAAGAAGAAGAAGCTGGTGAGGAGAGTCGCAGGAGAGACAGTGCAAAATACCAAGGAAGTGATGTCTCTGATGATTACTATAAGAATGGAAAAAAACATGGTCGTGTCCAATCAAGCCGCAAAAGCAGCTCGAGATCAAGGAATGGACCAATTAGTTCAGGTTCAGGAGATAGAAAGGTTTCTTGCAGCAAAAAAAGCAGTAGGAAATCGCATGATGTTGTTGGTACTTTAAACCAGAAGAGCAGCAGAAAATCTTGTGTCAAAGATTTAAGCCAAAAGAGCAGCAAAAAAACTTCTGTCAACGATTTAAGCCAGAGGAGCAGCAAAAAATCTTCCACCAATAAGAACAGTAGAAAATCTTCAGTGAGAATCTTAAGCCACAAGAGTAGCACGGAATCGAAGGATGGAGGTGCTTCCTTAAGCCACCATAGCAGCAGTTTGGCATCAGAGGATGGAAGAGTTATGTTTGAGCATGGCAGCAATGGGCTATCACAAGGAAACATATCTTTTGGCCTTACCAGCAGCAGCAGCAGAAGCAGAACAGATGAGGGAAGTGTTCACTCTTTTGAGTATATTAGCAGCAGTGGATCAGATGAGGGAAGTGTTCATTAACGATAAAATTATATCAACCTCTGGTTGCTGCCACTTGCGATGATGGAACAGGCATGCACATAAGTACTTTGACATGTTGTTTTGTATTTTTCTGTCAAAGTCTCTGGTTGTTCGAGCCATACAAGATAACCATATATGGAATTCTTCTCAATACTGAAACTTGATAAATCAAGCATCCTTTATATTTATTTGTTTTTTTTAGTAGGCTTCATGTATATTTTATTTATCCACGTTCTGTTCAAGAACTAGAGTCAAGATAACCGTGAATTTCCATAGGGCAACTCTTGCCATTGTTATTTGGAAGAGTGGTTCCTATTTGTTTTATATTATTATGGCAATTCTAACGTTATCAATGTAAATTCATTGCGTGTTACGAATATAATAAATGGATGAATGCATAGGCATGGATTTTTCTGTTCTTTGGGCCTAGGCCCCACACTGTCCCCCCCACAGGATGAGCAATGTTGACTCTTTTTCCCACATAGTTTGATCAAGTGAGGGACACTTATCTTCTTACAATATATACTCACCCAATAATAATAATTGGAAATACATTGAGGTTATACAAAAAAAAACAAAAAAAGAAGACATAAGTTATGCCATTCTATGAGATATATAAACATAAAAAATAAAAATTACGAGAGAAAAAATGAGTGTTTTTTTTTAATTTAAATTTTAAATAAAAAATATTATTTTGTATTTATCTCTCTATTAAAAATGACATAATTTTATATTATTTAAAATAACAAACAATTTTAACTCTGTTATATGAGTCTTACTAATTAGACATCCGATAGTGAGGTTTTACCTAGAATACTCTAAGAATTGGCAATACGGATAGTAGAACATACCTTTTGGACGGTCATAGATTTCATATCAAAGCATCTGCACCCACAGAAGATACCACTCAGCTAATGAATGTATGGCCCATGTAATTTATGACAAGGTTGTTGCAGAATGTGAGATGCAACTTTTATTGTTATTACGAATTAATGTATATATCATATGAAAGGCAAATGGCTCCGGGTCTTATTGCCTCACATTGTGAAATGGATAATAAATTGTATAAAATAGCAGCATTGCTTACGGCTCACCTGGTGGCCCTTTTAACGTACGTAATGGAATGTTTTATTGAGAGGGTCAAAAAGCTCACCTTGAGTTAAAAAAAAAAAAGCCTATCAAAATGTTACTATTTATCAATTTTTTTATCCAAATGTCAACAGTATTATTTTCCAATCTGTCACGGAGCAAGTTCGTTATCTGATGTAACGAACTCGGTTTGCTGACGTGTCACATTTCTAGTGGATAACAAGTACCAGGTTAAAAAAAAAATATGGAGTTCGCTATCCCGTGTAGCGAACTTGGTGTCCACTAAAAATGTGACATGTCAGTAAACCGAGTTCGCTACACCGGGTAACGAACTTGATCCCGTGCCAAATTGGAAAATAACACTGTTCGCATGGCATTTAAATAAAAAACTTGATGAACAGTGGTATTTTGGTTACTGTTCCAAAAGCATACAGACAGAAAAAGAGCATTTCAAAAATACTTGTCCAATTCTGCCTTGTGGCGCCCTTTGCATCATCCCAACGACCCTGTCTCTCTCTGTATGTCTAAAACTTGTTTTTTCTCTTGGTCCATTCCATTTCTATGTTACCATCGCACTGTTGAAAAATTGAACAAGCAACTAAGCAACTAAACACTAAGACGGCATTCTTTGACCAAAGCATGATGTATGTACCTTAAACCTATTCATTTGCTGCTTTAAGAGAATATTCAGTACTTCTATAAGCACTTAATCAAAGAAAGATACCATTGTTTTCTACTTTCTCAGCATTAGTCTTTATTCCTTAAAGAATGGGGGCAGAGGTAATAGTAGTTGCTGTTGACGCTAGTAAGGAAATCAGCAACGATTCTGCACTGGAATGGGCAGTTCAAAATGTGACCAAGGCTGATGACTCCTTAATAGTGCTTGCTGTTCTTCCTTCGTGTGGACTTTTTACTCCAAATTCAAATAGAAGCCGTCAATCTTTAGCATATTATTTTCTTTGTTGTAGGTTTACACCATTTTTATAAACGTTCATTTTCTTTTTTCTTTTTTTAGCTTTAGGCCATGTAATGTTCATTGCTATGGTGTTTTTTCTTGATGACAGGCGGTGCGAGGCACAATGAAGGAAGCTCTTCTAATCAAGTTGATGAAAGTAAAAGGGATATCTGCCGTCAAACAAACTATGTTTTTGTCCATAAGATGCAGCAGCTACGGTTAGCCAAAAATATGATGCAGGTATATATGTTTAAAACTTCTATTTCTTCACCACTTAGCTTAAAGTAAGACGGGTTCTTTCAATTTTTAACTATTTTGTTTTCCTAGGTTCACTCCCAAGTGGAAGTTATCATTGATGCTCACCTGGGTTCAGTAGCCACAAAAGCCAAAGAACTTAAAGCCTCATGGGTGATACTTGATAGGTACTCTGTCACTTGCTTTTTTATCTTTTAGTATTTGCAGAATAGTTATAACTATTTGCTGAATTAGCACTTGAAGAAAGCATTAATTTGAATAACAATATGCCAACACTAACGCGTTTTTAAAATTACAGATTGCTGAAGAAGGAAGCTGATCACTGCATTAAACAACTGAACTGCAATGTTGTAGTCATAGATCATGCTATTCCTAGAATCCTCAAAGCAGTAAATCCATTAGCAGGAGAAAACTTCAGTGAGAGTAGGACCCAAAGTAAACAAGCAGAAAGAGAAATGCTTGTCGTGATTCCTAATATCTTGGATTACAATAGTGCAACAACTCCAAGCACTTCTGATATCAAAAGTTCCTCTTTCGGAACTTATTCTTTCTCATCACCCAGCACAGACAAAGATTATCAGTGTAAAACCAACCCTTGCAGTATCAATGATTCTCATGGTTTTCTTCATCTAAACTCCGATTATTTCAATGAAGATTTTAAGTACCTGGAAACATTCAACCCTTCTCCTTCAGATATCAAATCTAGACGTTTAAGGACTATAATCTGTAAGATATTTCGTTCCATGATATTAACTTACTCATAGATATCAATATATTCAATGTATCATATTAATTTCTTTGGTATTCATGAATCATGAGGCAGCTGAGAGAAAGCATCATTTTGAAAGAACAGAGAAAGCACCGACTTTAGCTAGAAGAGCCTCCATGATTTCTTCTCATAAACATGGGTCAGAGCCTTCACCTTCTTCTGCTAAAGCTGACAGAAACTCAATCATTACACAGGCCGTGTCCCTTTCCATCACAAATCCTCCAAACCTTTCTTCTCTTTGCTCCATCTGCAAGAACAAGAAAAATATTTTCATAAATGCGCCAAGGAAGTTTGCCTACAGAGAGATAGCAAATGCAACTGATGGATTTTCAGATTGTAACTTCATGGCAAAGGGTGAATATGGTTTGTATACAGAGGGGAATTGCCTGATGGAAAGGTCATCACAGTGAAGCAGTATAAGAAACTGAAGGCATTTGCAGCATCAGAATTCAGTTTGGAAGTTGAAACACTTAGCAGTGCACACCACAGGAATCTGCTTATGTTGGTGGGATACTGCCTTGACACAGAATGGCTTCTAATATACGAATTTGCTTGCAATGGTTCCTTAGACAAGCACCTGTACGGTAAGATTGAAATTGGTGTCAAAAGATATTAGTACAATTTATCTGCAGTTATGAACACATGCAAATTTTTCATTCCACTTCTTGAAAACCACAACTGTAATTTGATTAGCTGAAAGAGTGAAAGGAAATGTATATATATGTAGGAACAGAAACAAACCAGGTGATGAATTGGCATGATAGAATGAAGGTTGCAGTAGGCACTGCAAGAGGCTTGAGATACCTCCATGAAGATTGCCGAGTTGGTTGTATTGTACACACAGACTTGAGGCCTAGCAACATTCTCCTCACTCATGACTTCGAGCCAATGGTCTGTATAGATTAAAGTTTATTTCTTTTTTATGTTTTCATTTTGGAGAAGGTTCCGTTTATCAATTTTTTTTTATAAATTACACTAAGTATGACTGGTCATACAATGACTGGTTATACACTCTTGATTGAAGTATGACCGGTCATACTTAGTGTAGTTTGTAAGAGTTTGTAAACAAAAAGTTTGTAAATATAACCTTCCTCTTTCATTTTATATAAAATGTTGAGCTTCTGAAATTAGTTTGAGTATTAATTCAGAGGAGATTAGATGATCCTAAAAATTAATTGTCATTTCATAAAGATTGGAGATTTTGGTCTTGCAAGATGGCAACTTAATGCTCAATCAGCTGAGGAGACACATCTAATTGGTACATTTGGGTAAGAGCAACCTGTAACTCCATCTAATTACAAGATTTTCAGTCTATGCACTTCTTTGCAGCAATATATTACTATTATAATAATTTGTGCATTATACTTATGTAGTTACTTGGCTCCTGAATACAGACAAACCGGCCAAGTCTCAGAGATGGCTGATGTATATGCATTTGGAGTTATTCTGTTGGAGCTTTTAAGTGGCTTTGGGGCCATGGAGTTCTCAAGGAAAACAGGAAAACAATCTATATCAGAATGGGTGAGTTTCCTGCTCTAAAGTAAAAAGACAAAGCGTTAGACAAGGGTATTTATTTACAATTTAACTCAAAATAAAGATCACAAGTTAGCATAACGTTATCTTGGCCTTGAATGTTGCAGGGTAGTACAATGATTGAGAAGAAAAAAACAAACGAGTTAATAGATTCTAGATTGAATAATAACTATGTCGAAAAAGGAATGGAGTGCATGATGCATGCTGCTTTTTTATGTACCTCACCTCTTCCAGAACAGCGACCAAGGATGTCCCAGGTTCTAAATTCTTCACCAAATTTTACCATATACTTTTTGACTGATTACATCTTGAAAATTCTCCTAACTGATCTTCGTAAATGTTTAACCGCAACTATTTAGTAGGCTTTTTTTATTTAATGTACAGGTATTGAATATACTAGAAGGAGATTCACCCATTGACGGAGCTTATTTTTATCAAAGCTCAAAAATATTTAACAATGGGTTAGTTGGATCAATCAAATGCAAAAAGGATAATCTGAAGCTTAGTCAAAACAATAAGACAAATTTCCATGTAAACAGTGACATAGATAGCGCTTCAAATCCACTGAGATGCTCTAGTCAAGTTGAAGAATCTGAATCTCTGGATTATGAAAGTTACTTAAGAGGGTCCCTGGCCAAATTTGTTCAAAATTCGAAGTAACTTCATCGGGTCGTAAAATATTCTTTTATATGCAAGCATTGTTATACATACCATCAGTAGTTAAATTCATCTTCAGATATTGGTACTTTTAGCTAACAAAAGAGGCCCGATCTTTTAAATATCTCTCTCACAATAAAAGTTGGATGGAGGTTGCAAGTTATCAACTCTCTTTTTTAGGATAAAATTCCATTGAAAAAATGTGAGACTTATGATTGAATTGGCCGGAAAAAAAAAGAGAGTCCATCTTGAACTTGAACTTCAAATTGTCCATGGACCTTGCGTAGCGTGTTATCTAACATTGGAAAAAATTTATTCTACTACAGCGTGTGCACGGATCAGGTTGGGTCAGGTTTTTGTACCGACTCGATCTAACTTGATTTTTATAGGTCAGTTATTTTGACCCAACCCACTTTAATTTGATCCAAGTCGGGTCCTGATTTGATTTGGATTTTTTTGAACTAGTTCAGAATCGAGTCGGATCTGACCTGACTTGGTTTCTGAAGTGGGTCAAATCGGACCTGACCCGTTTTTTATTTGGTTTCAAAACATGTTTTTAATTTGATTTTTTTATAGTTATTGATTTATTTTTTAAACTCGTGTAATTTAATTATTTATTTGTTTTAAAATATATAAATTTTATAATAAATTTGATATTTGTTGAATAAATAAAGGAATATAATTTTAAGCCCCTGCACATGTGAAGCAAAATTAGTGAAAAGTAAAGGATGAGAGAATGTTCTTTCTATCTTAAGATGACAAATCACTAATTTTAACAATACTAAAAAAGATCATATTTTCGATGAAACTTCTACGTTGCAAACGACGAAAATTTCTTCACAAAATTATTTTTTCGTCTGTATATTTTTTGTTGAAAAACGACGGAATTTTTTCTCTAATGAAAATTTTTACAAAAATAAATTTTCTATCAAAATTTTCGACGAAATTTAGTTTCCGTCAAAAGTTTTGACGAAAATGATTTCCTCCATCAAATGTTTTAAACACAAAATGAATTCCGTCAAAAATTTTGACGAAATATTTTTGGTTCAAAATTTCAATGGGAAAGTTTTCTGACGAAAATTGTTGTGAGGGAAATGTTTCGTTTGAAACTTTTGACGAAATTTAGATTCTCTAAACAATTTTAACAGAATATTTGTTCTGTCAAATTTTTTTATCAAAATATTTTTTGTCAAAGATTTTTACGAAATTTTTTGACAGTAAAGTGTTCCATTGACAAAAAATTTTGGTTGAAAATTTTCGATGAAAATGTGTTTCGCTAAAAATTTCGATGGAATTTTTTTTGTCAAAAAGTTTAACGAAAATGTTTCCGTCGAAAACTTTCGCCGAAATTTGAATTCTGTAAAGAATTTTGATGAAATTATTTACCGTTAAATTTTTTTGATGGAAATGTGTTTCGTCAAATTTTTTGATAAATATGTTTTTTTGTGAAATATTTTGACGAAATTTAGATTCCGTAAAAAATTTGACAAAAAAATTTTTCCGTCAAATTTTTTTACAAAAAAATTTTTAATCACAAATTTTGATAAAAAAATTTAACGTAATTGTTTTACGTTAAAACTTTTCTTTTAACATAATTATGATTTTCTTTTTCTTTTCTTTTTTTCACAAAATGAGTGTGGGTCAAGTTTTGGGTCAATGGACCATTATTAAAACAAGTCAGGTCGAAAATTGACGCAAATAAAAGTGGGTCAGTATTTAAAACTAGTTCAAAAAAATAAGTATTTATGGATCAAGTCAAGTTCAGATCAAGGATAGAACAAGTGAACCAGTTTTTTTGCATACCCTACCGTGCATCACATCAGTATATATTGTATCAAAGTGAGAAAAATAAAAATAATTTTTATATTTTGTACTATATTTTATTGATAAAATATAGTGTGATACACTAAATTTCAGTACATCCTCTAAATGCATTTGGAGTAATGCATCTTTAGTACATCCGTCGGAGGGAGTTTAGTGCGATTTTTGAATTTTACATTATATAAGTAATACATAATATAAAACAAAAAAGTCCCATTTTATTTTCTCTCTCCAGTACACGAGGAGCTGAGGTGGCATATTTTTTATTAGTCCCCGGTGGTGGAGGCCCCAACATGCCGAAACTAGCTTTTAAAAATAATGTAGTGTTGTATTACGTATTACCACAAAGTCAAAGTTATGCTTTGTTTCGTTGTGAAAGAGTCCCTGATCCCATTAAACGGTGGTAGGTAAGTTAATAGTAACTAATAACTAAGTTGAGTAAGTAAAGATAAAAAGATTTTAATTTAATTTTTATATGTTACTTTTGAAAGGAATTTAATTTTTTTCATATTTATTTCGCATTTAGAATTAATCTTATAATCAAATAATGAGCTCAAAAAATTAAAGTTTATAAAAATAACAGCCAACTCGACTAAAAAAATAATTAAGGTTGGATTAAGGGAAAAAAAGTCTCTACTCCCAAAGGCATAATAATGTATCACTGTTACATAGTCAAACTTTCGACAACAAATCACTTCTTGTCCTAGTGTAGAGCCACGAGGGGTACGTTATGCTATGTTTCGTTTTTCGCTTTCACACTGCACTCTGAACCCCACTATACTACAAATTCCAACGCACGCCAGATTCGCTTTCGATTTTGTAATGAGAAGAAGACAATTTCTAATACTACTCATCCATCCATCCTCATCCTCGTGCTAATATTAGATTAGCATTATCAGGTTGACTCCTGGCTACAACCCGTTGACTATGGTTTCTTCCAGCAAATCCTCACATGACATCCGTTTTCTTCGCTGATTTAACCTGTCCATTATTGACCATTCCCCTCTTATTTTCTAAAATGTTTATCAAAATGTAATCTTGTTTGATATAAGATATTTTAATTTTTTTTTATCATCTGATCTTTAAATAAAAAAATAAAATAAAAAATCCGTTAAAGAATATGTTAGATATAAATCGGTTTCAACGTCGAAGGAATAAAAACTCAAAAGGACTGCGGGTCAAATGCAAACAATTGAAAAATGTTTAAATCTGGTTCAGTTAGCCAGTTCATTCATAAAAAATAATATAGAATTAACATCATTTGTTTTTATTATCATATTTATATGCAATTTATGGCCATTGCTTATCTATTCATTTACAATAAACAAAATTTCAAACTCCTACGTAGTTGTCGTAATAGTCTTTGCAAACGCGTCGTAGTATACTATCGTAGATTTAGACAAATTTATAATTCCGGTTGTTTTAATTCAATTTTGTACTTTTTTCTTAGTATACTCACTCTTCTATGACTATGCTTTTAACTAAACGAAACGATGAGAAAATTATCAATTAACAGAGCGTACATTGTTGTGACTTAGAATGAACTTTTTTAAAAGATTTTTTACATTATGCGCAAACCCTATGTACGAATTTGATAATAATTTAACCAAACTACTAATATAATTGTGATAATATTGGAAGTTTATATGAATTATATATATATATATATATATTACTTTATTTGAACATATAATAGCTTACATAGTTACTTTGCACATTAACCTAACCGCTTTAATTTGTTCGTGAGAAAAGAAACGTACAACAAATATAGTTAAAATCGATATTTTATGTAAAATCGATTAGAAATAAAAAAATCATAAAACATAAAATCAAAATATAAAAAAATAATAAAATAATAAAATTTCATAAAAATGTAAAATCTTTTGGAATAGTGATAAAATTATTTTGATAAAAAAAATCATAAAAATATAAAATCAAAACAATTGAAATTTTAGCTACCATCAATACAGTACAATAGCTCATTGCCTCCGTGAAAGTGGGTAAAAGGATGAGATCCGGCATTTCCTGATTGCGATCAAATCAATGTTCTTCCGGACCACATGCTAAAAGTTAGTGGATATTATTACTATCCTATTTTTTAACTATTACTCTAATATAGTTATATATTTCAAGAAATAGGTTAAATGTTATTATTATTATTATTTTTTATATAAATTTTTCAAAAATTATTGTCTGAAAAATGAAATTCAATAACTAAAAAATGATAGTAAATTGATAACGACAAAATATAATAGTAAGAATATTTAGAATAAAGCACCTTTTGAATCTTCAACAAATATTATGTCGCCCAATTTAATTCATATTAGTCTTTTGAAGAATTAACGTCAATGTTTTTTAAATTTTAAAAAAATCACAATTTTAATTAATTGAATCTATTTTAAATTTAGGTAACAATTTTTTATTAAAGATTTAAAATAGCCCCACAATTTTTGTTGATTTAGCTGAGTTTGGCGCACAGAGACACAGACAGACAGAAGGTGGCATTTTAAAGTGAAATAAGGGATCAGAAAACAGAGTCAACAGTGACAGTTTGGCAGCAGCCATTAGCATTCAAATTCCAAGCCTTTTCAGATTGGTCATACTTCCCCACAGTAACACGCACCCACTATTTTTTTGCAACAGTCACTCGTTTACCAAATGCCCCAAATCTAGGTATGGACATCGGAATGGAGGGGTCCCCTTGGCTCCTTCGTCATTGAATCGGTTGCTTCATTTCATTCATCATCAACACACATCTAAAGCTAAAGCAAGAAGAACCGTCTTCAATTCAATCTTTGAACCTTCGTCCATCCCACTCCTTCAGTTATTCATTACTATTGCCACAAAATTAATAATAATAAAAAAAAATCTGTATAGAAAGTTTGGTGAAAAGGAAGAAAATGAATGAAAGTTTAATTTGTCAGTGCTTCTATAATATATTTATTAGTAGTTAACTGTGCTTGCTTCTGTTACCATTGTCTGTCTGTCATAATTAAAACAAGTAAAAAAAGGCTTTAAACCCACTCCTACCCTTTTCACTTTTCATACTCTTTTTTCTCTATATTCTCTAGTTGTTCCTAACTTTCTTTAACCTTTTTGCTCCCAACTATATTTGTGGTTCTTGTGGCTTTGGTTTCATAGTTGACACGCCAAAAATGGATGTAAGCCTCTTTCGTTGGATTCCTTTTTAGTTAATTAGTTCTTCTAATTGTGAGGGAATAGGGATGGTTAACTAATGATAGATGTTTGATGGTGATTGTGATCATAGGAATGGAAGAGAAGCGGACAGATACCGGCGTTTGGAAACTGGGATTTGGAGAATGAGTTGCCAATCACTCAGTATTTCGAGAATGCCAGACAGGCCGGTCTGCTGCGTTATAGTTCCTCCTCCTCCGGTGATTTTAACAAACCCTCTCGAGTTCGTAATCACAAAAATAATAATATAAACCATTCCGCTCTCAAACACAAACAGGTTTCCACTCTTCCTTTCGTTGCTTCAGTATATATAATAGGCTGCATTTAAGATGAGATTTATTTTATTTTATTTTCGGTTTCAATTATTTCTGTGCACTTGCGATTGGCTCATGATGCGGTGGTTGAAAAGTTGAAACAGTACAATGGAAGCACATGATTTTGTTTCTGTTTGGTTTGTATGTATATTTTGTCTCAACAAGCAAGCAAGCCAAACCAAACTTTGAAACCAGTAATGAAGTAGTGTGAGTTTGTTTGTTGTTGTGGTTATAGGAGACGAGGAACAGGGAAATGCGGTGCCCACATGTTATGGTTAACAAGGGAAAACCTGGGAAAGTGTACGACGTGATGGAACAGCCAATTAGAAAAAGCAAGCAGCTGCAAAAATACGACGTCGTTCCACGACCTCCCAAACCTGTTGATGAAGATCTCTATAAGATCCCTCCTGAACTCCTCCACACAACCAAGCGGGTGCATAACCCAACTCTTATTCCTTTTTTATTATAATTTTTTTAAGACCATATTATACTTTGTGTTTTATATTCCATGTACCAAATTTTTATTGACTTGATTTATGAATTTGTAGAAGAAAATGCTGGGTTTCATTTCCAAGTGTCTTGTACCAGCTGATTGTGTTTCATGAGCCATATGCGAAGCTGGAATTTCCAATCCAATCTCTAATAACGCCATCATCCCAAGGAGTTTTTGAGAGGGAACAAGTGTTTTTTTTTTTGGTTAGTTAAGCTAAGCTGACTGTGATGTGGCCAGCTAAATTTGGCTTTTTGATATTGAGCAAGAATGTATATCCTTTTATTGGCCATTTTACAATTATTCTGTTTGAATGACTATATGTGGGTATCGGGTTGTGGTGGACTAAATGTCCGAATGTTTTATTTAATATTCATAGTCAAGGTTACTGGTGGTGGTTGTGATGAAGTTCCGTCTGATAAATGTTTTTTGTATTCGAAATCATACATTTTGTAGTTTGGACAGATAACGCATTGACTACTTATCAATACATTGTCAGTTTGTCACTTCACTCTCCCCGCTAAACCGTCGTTGCGTTGCGTGAAAGGTATCAGATCAGAGAGAGAAGAAAGGAAAATTGTAATTTGTTATTGAAAAAAATGAATCATTGACTTGCACTTACATGTGCACATCTATTATATATTCCTAGCCTAGATTAATCTTAACCATGCAACAGTAACAGAATGATCTCAGTCATTCAATAATAACATAACAATTACAAACATAATAACTAATTGATAGTATTGGGCTGGGCCTATATAGCCTTCATTCCCCCGCAAGCTGAAGAGGGCTTGGACTGAGAGTCCACCACTCGAAGCTTGGACTTGAAATCAACAAAAGAGGCCTGAGGTACAGCCTTGGTGAGTCCATCGGCGAGTTGGTAAACAACTGGAACGTGATGAACAGACACAGCCTTGCTGAGCACCTTTTCTCTGACGAAGTGTAGATCCAGCTCAAAGTGCTTGGTCCGAGAGTGAAAAATGGGGTTAGCCATGAGGAGGACAACAGAGAGATTGTCACAGTAAAGAACCGGAGGTCTGGGAATGTGGATTCGAAGTTCTGAGAGGAGAGACTGAATCCAAGTCAGCTCAGCGACAGTAGCAGCAAGACAACGATATTCCGCCTCAGTACTCGAGCGACTGACCACATGTTGCTTCTTGGAGGACCAGTTGACAAGATTCGACCCAAAGAAGATGCAGAAACCACTGGTGGAGCGACGGTCATCAAGATCCGAGCCCCAATCGGAGTCATAATAAGCAGCCAGATGAAAATTTGAAGATGGGTTGATGGTTAAACCATGGGAAACCGTCCCACTCAGGTAACGTAGTATCCTCTTGACAACCTTCCAGTGTATATCTAAAGGAACATGCATAAACTGACAGACCTTATTAACACTGAATGTGATGTCAGGGCGAGTAATGGTGGCATATTGAAGGGCCCTAACAATGGATCGATACTGAGACGGGTCAGGATGTGGAGAACCATCACGAGAGGAAAGCTTAACACTGGACATCATAGGTGTAGGCACAGGCTTGGAGTTCACCATGTTTGCCTTCTTGAGTAGATCCAGAATATACTTGGATTGGTGAAGATGAAGGCCACCAGATGCAGTCTTGGTGACCTCAATACCCAGAAAATAGTGGAGGTGACCAAGATCCTTGAGAGCAAAGGCATCATTGAGAGAGTGAATGAGGGACTGTATAGCAGAAGAAGAAGATCCAGTGACAAGTATGTCGTCTACATAGACTAGTACATATAGAGTAGCAGTAGGAGTAAATGAGATGAATAGGGAAGAGTCACATTTAGCAGTGACAAAACCCAGTCTACGGAGTGTGCTACTAAGCTTGTCAAACCAGGCACATGATGCCTGTTTAAGGCCATAGAGAGCCTTAGTGAGCTTGCACACAAGGGTTTTATCTTCATGAATGAAACCAGGAGGTTGTTGCATGAACACTTTTTCCTGAAGATCACCATTCAGGAAGGCATTGTTCACATCTAATTGGTGAACAGGCCAGCCTCTAGAAAGGGCAGCAGTGAGGACAATCCGAATGGTAGCAGGTTTAAGACCTGGACTAAAGGTTTCCTGGTAGTCAAAACCTTCCTGTTGGTGAAAGCCCTTAGCCACTAGCCTGACTTTATACTTTAGAATGCTGCCATCAGAATTATATTTGGTGCGAAATACCCATTTACAGCCTATTGGAGACCTGTCTGAAGGCATAGGAACCAATTTCCAAGTGTTGTTTTTGAGTAAGGCTACATACTCCTCTTACATAGCCTTATGCCAGTGTGGTTGAGCTAGGGCATGAGAAACAGAAGTAGGTTCCAAAGAGGCTAAATAGGCCTTCGGTTTAAAGATGCCAGCTTTGGCTCTAGTAAGCATAGGATGAGCTAGAGGAACCACAGGGGCTAGTAAAGGTGAATCAGACCTGCAACTGTTGTCAGAAAATATAGGAGACCTGCAAGTAGGATTAGAGGTGCTAACAGAAAAATCAGTAATAGAATCTCCCATTAGGGAATTAGGAGAGGCAGAGGGGTGAGCAATAGGAGCTGTGATTGGGACAGGAGGTGGAATTGGTACACTGTTTGGACTGATGTTAGTAGGCAAGATAGGAATAGCAGGAGTAGAGAAAGAGGTAGTTGGAACACTGTTTGAAGTTGAAGGAGAGACATAGGATTGAAGGAACGGGAATTGGGATTCATCAAAAAGCACATGTCTTGCAAAAATGATTTGACCAGTTGGTTTTAAACACTTGTAACCTTTTTGATTTGTACAGTAGCCAATAAAGGTGCATTTTTCTGACCTAAAATTAATTTTGTGCCTATTGTAGGGTCGTAGGTAGGGATAGCATGCACAACCATAAGTTTTAAGAAATGAGTAATCAGGTGTTTTCTGGAATAGGGTTTCAAATGGAGATTTGTGATTTAGGGTGGGGGTAGGTAAAAGGTTTATAACAAATGTGGCAGAAAGAAATGCATCTGCCCAACATTTGGTTGGTAAGTGGGATTGAGCTAGGAGAGCTAGACCAGTTTCTACAACATGTCTATGTTTTCTTTCTGGTTGGCCATTTTGTTGATGAGTGTAGAGACATATGAGGCGGTGTATAATGCCTTGATGTTGTAGATAGGGAGTAAGTTTGAGATATTCTCTGCCATTGTCAGTTTGAATAGATTTTATTTTGGTATTGAGTTGTAATTCAACCATTGTTTTGAATTGAATGAATATATTGTAAGCTTGTGATTTGTTTGTCATAGGATAAAGCCAAGTATATTTGGAAAAGGCATCTACAAATAGTATGTAGTAACGAGCACCTAAGGTACTTTCAACAGGTGCTGGACCCCAAATGTAAGTGAGGACAAGTTCCAAGGGACTAGAGTAAGTTGTAGTTGTGTTTGGTAAGTGAAGCTGGTGCATTTTTTCCATACAACAAGCACAACATAGTTTTGAATCAGTTTTATTGACATATGGTATGTTACAATGTTTAAGAACCAACTTGACAGTTTGAAGGGAGGCATGAGCTAATCTCGAATGCCATAGATCTAAAGTAGAAACTTCAGAAGTATTATTACAAGATATGAAAGGTTTAGAAACATAAAATACAGGGACACTAGTTTTATGTAAACTTGAGGTAGCTGCAGCAGTAAACCTTGAAGGCTTCTGCACTCCATCAAATGCATATGGGCCATTCTTAAGGTTGCCTTGGAGAAGAATCTCCTTGGTAGCCTGAGATTTGACGTAGCAAGTATTAGAATGAAATTCAAAAAAGACTTGATGTTCCTTTGCAAACTGTGAAACACTCAATAAATTTTTTGGACATACCAGGAACATGTAGAAGATTTGACAGTGTAAATGATTTTGAACTGAAAGGAGAGTATAGAATTGAATGACCTATGTGTTTGATTTTTAGGTTAGATCCATTACCTACTTGAACAACATCCTGACCATTGTATGTGGTTTTCTACAGCAGGTTGGAAGATTCTGGTGTGAAGTAATTTGTGGCACCAGAGTCTGGATACCAGCTAGAATCAGTAAGGGAAAAATAGTCAGAGGCTTCATCATCTTGCTGTCTTGCAGCAATGTAACTGGTCACTGCCATATTAGCTTGCAAGTTGGAGGAGCTGTTTTGTTTCAGAGAGCTTTGATAGCTTTGATTGAACCTGTGATGGCAATCAAGAGCTAAGTGGCCATACCTGCCACAGACTTGGCATTGAGGCCTATTGTAGCTTCCACTGCCATTGTACCTTCCTCCTCTTCCTCTGTAAGGTTGGTAACCTCCAATGTTTGTACTTGTATAGAACCTTCCTCTATTTGGGCTGAATCCTCCTCTATTGAAATTAGAGTGATTGTTTTGTCTTCTGACTTGTAGCTGAGCCATATTGGCTTGAAGGTTTGTTGGGAGATTCCTTCTATGCTTCTCCAGTCTTTGTTCTTGAGCCATCAACAAGCTTCAATTTCACCAATAGTATAAGGATCAGAACGTGAGATAACTGATGTAACAAAGGCATCATAATCTTCATTTAGTCCATCTAGTATTGCATCTATGTGATCCTCGCAATCAACTGGTGAACCGCATGCTGCCAAAGAGTCCACTGTTTTCTTGATTGTGAGAAGGTATTTTGACACATCACCTTCCTTCTTTATATTCTTTAACTGCACTTTCAGTTGTTTAATTTTTGCTCTCGTTTGAGACATGAAAAATTCTTCAAGTTTCTGCCAAACTTGGAATGAACTGGAACATCCAACAACACGCATGTAGATTGACTCAGACATGGAAGACAGTAGCCAAGAAAGGATCAACTGATCTTGTTGAACAATAGCAGCTTTTTGTGTATTTGAGACCTGACTTGCAATGTTGCCAACACTTTTTGCATCTTCTTCAGTAGAACTTCTTGCAACACGTACTGAATCTTGAACTTCTTGAGTGATGAATTTGATCAAATCATAACCTTTGATTGTAGCTAATGCTTGTTGTTTCCATGGCAGGAAATTATCTTCATCCAGCTCAAAGGAAACTGGATTAGAAAAGGCATGAACAGAGTTTTGCACAGCACGATTTGGCTCCATGGATTAATAAGCTCTGATACCATGAAAGGTATCACATCAGAGAGAGAAGAAAGGAAAATTGTAATTTGTTATTGAGAAAAATGAATCATCGACTTGCACTTACATGTGCACATCAATTATATACTCCTAGCCTAGATTAATCTTAACCATGCAACAGTAACAGAATGATCTCAGCCATTCAATAATAACAGAACAATTACAAACAGAATAACTAATTGATAGCATTGGGCTGGGCCTATATAGCCTTCATTGCGCCACTGATAATTAGCAGGTTTGATGTTTTTGTCCGGGAACAAATTTTTAATGCAACCGTTACACTGAATATTATGAAGAATATATAGTTACAATGATAGGTTTATAAATTTTTTTACAAATTACATTATGTACTCCCAGAAGTATATAATGTAACCTAGTGTACTTCCAGGAGTACATAGTGTAGTTTGTGAATAAAAAATTTGTAAATATAACCCCCTCTAGTTATAATATTAATTTTTTTTTCTTTTTTTTCTTTTTTTTTTTAAAATTTGTCGAGCTGACATGAAAAATAAAAAAGTAACTTGAATATTATAATTATAACTATACATTTTCCAAAGTACATCGATATAATATTATTCTAAAACTACTTAATACAACGGTTGCATTAAAAATTTCTTAGTAAGTTGGATATAAAGTTATCTCTGGGGCTGGATGGTTCTGTGAGGGGAACAGTGACCATTTTGTCACGTCTAGCCAAAAAAATTATCAGACTGTCACGTCAACAGTAATTTTTTTCAGAATGCCACATTGGATAATTCGCTACACTGTGTAGCGAAATATGCTTGCAAATAATTCGCTACACAGTGTAGTGAATTATGCCACGTCAGAATGCACAGTTAGCAAGAATGACACGTGTCAAGCAGGTAGTAATTCGCTACCCTGTGTAGCATATTATGTTCGCGAATGATTTTTTGACAAGTGGCACACTTTTGCAGGAAAAAGTTGACGTGTCATAATTCGCTACTACTGGTAGCGAATTTGGTCCGCAATATGACCAGAGGCGGAATCATGGGGGGCTAGGGTGGGCCACCCCCCCCCCCCCACAAAGTTCAAGAATTATATATATATATATAAATGAAATTGGAATAATATTATTAAATTATTTGTTTTAAAAATTTTATAATATAAAATTACTCTCCATAACACCATCAATATCATACTACACTCAATCTTTTTTTATTCCTATTTTTATTCTCCAACCCACTTTTCTCTCTCTCAACTTTAACAAACCCTCATTACCCATCTGCAACCCATCGACCCTAAAGGCCAAAGCCATTAAATCTCCTCAGAGGTCTTTTTCTATCTCTATTTTTTTTGTTTTTTTATGAAATTCTCTATCTGTATGACTGTATCTCTATTTCTATTTGAATATTTGATTGTATTGTCTCGAAGGTCGAAACCCATTTATTTTGAAATCTGCATTTTTTTATAACTAGTTAATGGATATGCTTAAGTTAAGAACTTAAGATGCTGAAGAGAAGCACCCGTTGATAAAAAAAGATCGAACAAAGTAACAAACGAATAGTGAGTTCAAGCGACACAGACACACAGTAAAAGTACGAGGGAAAGTGAGGGTTTTCCGAACATATGTCTGTCAGGTCATGCATTCAATTGTTCTTTTTATTGTTTATTTTATTTTTTTGGGTGGGTACGGGTGATTGTAGGTATTAATTTGATTTTTTTATTTTTTATTTTTGGGTGGGTACACAGTAACAAACCCATTTATTTTTTATTTTATTTTTTTGAACTTTTGATTTCTTGTTTGCTGACTACGATTTTATTTTATATTTAATACATGAAAGATTGTAGGTATTTACTATGGGAAAGAGTGCTACTATTGATGTTTATTTTAAGAGAAAGAATAGTGAGTCTTTGCCCTCATCTACTCCCAATGTTGCATTGTCAAATAGTGAAACTCCTTCTTCAAAGCTTCCTAGAATTGAAAATAAAGAGGTAGTTAAAGTTGATTTTGCTTCACTGGAAAGAGAATTGCACTACGCCTTCCAATATGGAAATATCCTATAAATCAACAAGATGAAATTCGTCGTGCTTATCTTAAACTTGGTCCATTTCAATGCAAGCTTTAAAATTATCCTTTTTCTGGGCCAAAGAGGAATCGACGTCATTTTTGCTCTTCTTGGTTTGATTTGTTTCCATCTTGGTTAAAGTATTCTCCAAGTAAAGATGCTGCATTTTGTTTGCCTTGTTATTTATTTAGTAAACCAGGTGGTAGTGGTCGTGTTGGACTTAATACATTTGTTGTTGAGGGATTTAGAAATTGGAAAAAGGTTAATGAAGGAGAAAATTGTGCTTTTCTACGCCATGTTGGGAAAAATGCTATGTCAATGCATAAAAATGTTGTGAGTTCAAGTTGTGATCTTATGAACCAATCTCAACATATTGAGATATTGGTTGAAAAACTTACTACTCAGGAGATTGCAACTAATCGTTTGAGACTACAAGTTTATGTGGACGTGACAAGATGGCTTGCTCTTCAAGGATGTGCTTTTAGAGGTCACGATGAAAGCTTAGATTCAATTAATCGGGGTAATTTTCTTCAGATGATAAAGTTTTTAGCTTCCTATAATCAAGAAGTTGCAGCAGTTGTTTTAGAAAAAGTGCCTCAAAATGCATCATATAGTTCCCCTCAAATTCAAAAGGAAATTCTTCATGTTTTCTCTGAAAAGGTAAAGAAAACAATACGAGAAGAAATTTCCAATGCCATGTTTTGTCTTATTGTTGATGAAGCTAGTGATGTATCTAAAAAGGAGCATATGGCTATTGTTTTGAGATTCGTAGATAAAGATGATTTTATACCGGAAAGATTTTTCAGTCTTGTACATGTGGAAGATACAAGTGCTAAGACTTTGAAACAAGGAATACTCAACACTCTTTGTCACCATAATCTTGACGTTCAAAATATTCGAGGACAAGGCTATGATGGAGCTAGCAATATGCGAGGTGAATGGAATGGACTGCAGGCTTTAATTTGCGCTGAGTGTCCATATGATTATTATGTCCATTGCTTAGCTCATCGGCTTCAACTTGCCTTGGTTGCTGCATCTCATGAGGTAAAACATGTTCATCAGTTTTTTGAAAAATTGAACTTCATAATTAATATTGTTACTTCCTCTTGTAAGCGTAATGATGAGTTAAAGGCTGCCCAAAAAATTGAAATTGCAAGAATGATTGCTATTGATGAACTCGAATCAGGAGTTGGTCTTAATCAGATTGGTACTTTGCATCGAGCTGGAGCTACTCGTTGGAGTTCTCGTTATAATTCCATATGCAGTTTGTTTAAAATGTTTAAAAGCACATGTGAAGTTCTTGACAATATTTCTAATGAAGGAAAAACAGCATCACATCGTGGAGATGCCGATAATGCATACTCATCGTTGACATCTTTTGATTTTGTCATCGTATTGCATCTTATGAAGGAAATTATGGGTATTACTGAAGTCCTTTGTCAAGCTTTGCAACGAGAGTCTCAAGATATTTCAAATGCTTTACATCTGGTTTCAACTACAAAAGAGTTACTTCAGAAATTAAGAGAGACAGGTTGGGATGCTTTTTTGATTCATGTTCAAGATTTTTGCATAAAACATGACATTGACATTCCAGATATGAGTGCAAAATATATTGGAAGAAGGGGTCGTGCTCGAAATGAACAAGGTGATTTTTCTACTGAAAAGTTTTATAGAGTAAATATCTTTTGTGCTACAATTGATTACCAATTGCAAGAATTAAATAGCAGGTTCAATGATAATACTGTTGAATTACTTGCTTTGAGCATGGCTTTAGATCCATGAAACAGGTACAAGTCATTTAATAGTGATATTTGCAAACTTGTTGATAAATTTTATTCTAGAGATTTCACAGAACAAGAAAAATTGCATTTGAAGATGGAGTTACAACATTTTGAGCTTGATATTCCTAATCATCCAGATATGATTAATTTATCAACTACATCTGAATTATGTCAAGGGCTAGCAAGAACCGGAAAGTCCATCATTTACCCTCTTATTGACAGAGTGATTAGACTTGTACTCACTCTTCCAGTTTCTACAACAACTATTGAAATATCTTTCTCAGCTATGAAGATAATCAAGACTAGGCTCCGAAATAGAATGGAAGACCAATTTCTTGATGATTCTTTGATTTCATACATTGAAAAAGAAATTGTTTTGAGTTTTAGTACGAATTCAATTATAGATGAGTTTAACAATATGAAACACGTAGAGTAAAAGTCAAGTGAATTAATCTTCATTTCTGTAATAGGTTTCTTTTAATTTTTATATATTAGATTTGTATTGTATTTCAAATACTTTTATTTATGATATAATATTTTTTATTTCGCCCCCTCTCATTAAAATTCCTGGCTCCACCACTGAATATGACAACGTGTCACAAAATTATTGGCCACAAAATTCGCTACTAGTGGTAGCGAATTATGACACGTGACAGTCTGGTAAAAAATACTGTTTGCGTGACATTTGGATAAATTTTTTGACAAAACGTAACATTTTGGTGACTGTTCCTGTGTGAGGAGAGCAGAAAGATCAGAAAAGGTTTCACGTTATAGGAAAAACATTGAACTCGTATTTCATTAGTCTCGAGTTCCAGGTATGTTTTTAAACTGAAAGTGAACTGCTATCATGCTCAAATGACGGGTCTGATAGACCTAAGTTTTTATGTTCAGTATTATTGGGCCTGTGAATCTCTCTTTGCTATTTAAAACCTGATTCTGGGCTGGGATCATTCAAATAACGCAGGCCGAAATCTCTCTTACTAGTAGGCTGAGATTTGCTTGCTGAATGGAGAGTTGAACCAAAAAAGAGAGAGAGAGAGAGCAGTAATTAATATAAGGGTTTTCGTTTTATCCTTTAACATAACACAACAAATTTTCTTACACTCACAATATTTTGTGGGGTCCACACTTTTTAAAACAAAAAAATAAATAAAAAATTAAGGCACGCAAAACGAATCTCTATAACATTACACAATCACTTTTCCTACAACCTAACTCTTATAAAACCCTTAATATAAATAAAAGACTGAGAGCTAACTATTAAAAAAGAAGAAAAAAAAAGATAGAGTGGTAACTGATCATGAAAAATGAAAATGCTCGAAGGAGAATTGACTTCACACTAGAATAATTTAAGAATTGATGGACAGTACTAAGATGACTAAATTTGACTAAGCACTTTTAAGCTACATTCCTTATATTTTTAAAATATAATTATATAATTTAATTTTCTATCGAATGTCATTATTGGAGTGTGAGAATTTATTTGTTTTCATAATTTCCTCTGAAAATATTATATTTAAAGTCCAAGTAACTATCCACTAGAAAATTTATTTTGGGCACAATAACTTTATATTTATAATTTAATAATATTTATAAGTATTTCTTAGGCTTTGTATGTTATGAAATAATATTGAAAATTATATGACAAGTATTTTTATGGAATAATTTTCTGTCGTTGCCTTAAAATGGTTCAGGGGTAAACAGCACTCTATTTATATGCATTTGACACAATTCGGGCACATCCATTTCAAATTTTCAACTGAGATGTTCTTGTGTTAAGTTATTATTATCTTGTTTGTAGCCTTAAAGAAAGGTGAAAAGTCATTCCATCAGAATTTCCTTCTTTGGTTATAAGAAATTAAGAATAGCAGTTGTATTATATTTTTCCAATTTTAGTAAGGGTTTTATAAGAGTTATGTTGTAGGAAAAGTGATTGTGTAATGTTATAGAGATTCGTTTTGCGTGCCTTAGTTTTTTTTTTTTTGCTTTAAAAAATATAGACCCCACAAAATATTGTGTGTGTAAGAAAATTTTTCGTGTCATGTTAAATGACGACAGCAAACCCTTTTTAGTAAATGATAGTACGAAAATATTTTTCTCGGGCCATATGGGCTAACAATAATGCTGCTCAATGTTTACTTTGGATCCATCGGTGGAGCCCACGAAGTAGTGGAACACGAGCATTTCTTTTTGTAAGCGGTAATTGTGTTTCATACTGTCCACAAAAGGGACCTAGATTTGTCTTGTTTGTAACTTCACTTTCTTCACCAATTTTGATCCATTCAGCACCATAAGTTAAAATCCACAGTGAAGAGTAAGCACCCTGTGGTCCTCGGAATTGGATTATGTGACTGAGTGAGCTCACCACTCGAGTCGCCAACCTTTAGCAACAAATATGTTCTAATAATTACTAGGATTTAATGTTTTTTTTTTTTGTTGCATAAAAAAATTTTCTGCTCACATAAAAGTAATTGAATTCCACAAATATTTTCTTTCTCTTCTCTTTATAATGAACTCATTCACTTCTATGTGATTGTAATAAAAAACTGCCACACTCATATAAAAAAGAGTGAGTTTCATTAATATATTTTTATATAATAAGATATTCATTTTTATATAAATGTAACAGAAAAAAATTTCTTCACAGCAAAAGCAAAAATATTTTTCCCATTAGACTATTGGCAGAATGATTATTATTGACTACGACTGATGAAATAAACCAGAGCTAAAGGTATGGTGAATCCTGTTAAATTTTGGATAACCTTAAATGAATAAAGGGAATTTTTTTTTTTTTATGTTATTGAAAATGAGTTATCTTATATTAGTCAAACAAAATTATAAATAAGATCCATGAATAATTAAAGGAAAAAAAAAAACAGAAGTAAAACCCACATTTATTATATGTCTGAATGAATTTGATTTATCTTATGAGAGATTTATAATCCATAAATAAATGAGCAGAATGAATAATCTAGTACTGTCGACTCGCTCTTATTTTGTTATCGCTCTTCATCATTCATATGATGTGACCAAACCAAGTTAGCCAACCAATCATTTAAGATCGACGGGGGAACAAGTAACCACCTCTCTATGGAGTTCTACTAGTGCGGTCCAGTAGCTATTCGGAGCCTGGTTCTTCGGTCACGAGGAAGGTGGTCCGGTATCTCTTGATTCAGAAAATGTTGACGTAACGGAAGGCTTAGATGAGGATAGGGTTATATGTCGTGCATATGTGTGGAGCATCATATCTAATGGGCCTAAAGTTGGGTTGGGGCTAGTGGACCTAAAAGACCCCTACAACGTAGAGTATTAAAACACAGCGATGGACTGACGAGCCAATAGCGTCATACCAAAAATAAAATAAAATAATCAAAAAATTGTTATGACCGTTAGTCACGAACCCCTCACGTTAATTTTTCATAAGCGTCAGCGATAAAATGTAAATAGCGGAAATGAGAATGTTAAAAGATAGATGTATGATTATACGAGGTTCAATAAAATAAGAAATGAAGATATTCAACGAAAGATAAAAAGTATTACAAGTGACTGAAAAGATAAGAGATTATAGATTGAGGTGATTTGAGTATGTAATGAGGAAGCGCCTGAATATTTTCGTAAGAATAAAAGTTTGCTACCAAGATCTTGATATAAAGAAAGGTAGAGATAAACTGAAACTTACTTGAAAAAATATAATAAAACAAAATTTAATGAAGTATGATATAGATCTGCGGATAATATATCTTAAGACGGAATGGATAAAAGCTATAAGCCTTGCGGAGTGTTAAATCCATTTTTATTCTTGTGTTCCAAATGATCATTTTTAGTCCTTTTCCTTTTTATTTTCCTCTTTTTCTTTCTTTTTTCCTTTTTCTTTTATTTCATTTTTCCTTTCAATCTTTTTTCTCTTAATTATTTATGTGTTTTTCTGTATTCCTTTTTATTTTTTTATTTCTTACTTTCTTATTCTTTTTTTCCCTCCATTATATCGATATTTTTATTTTATTTTAGTTCATTTTTCCTTTTAATTGTCTACTGCTATATATATATATATATATATATATATATATATATATATATATATATGAGAAGATTATATTTATGAATTTTTTGTTTACAAACTACACTAAGTATGATCTGTCATACTTCAATCAAGAGTGTATGACCGGTCTTATTTAATGTAATTTGTAAAAAAAAAATTGTAAATGGATCATTCCCTATCTATATATATATATATATATATATATATATATATATATATATCTTAAATTTTATCTTTATCTTTTTCTCAAACTTTTCATACATTTTATTTGGATTCATCTACTACCAATTCCAACTAATTTAGGATAATTTTCATCTTTTCTGTCGTAACTAGGAACGGATGCTTCCTTTGTTATTAATGTTTTTGTTATAGATTGATAACTCTCGAATTTATGAACAAAAAATATTTGATATTCATTAACAAACTAGTAATCTTTGCTACTATTAATAGTTTAAACTGATTTTGAAATAAGAAAAGTTTCCTTCATCATAACAATTTTTTGTACCCAAAAAAAAAATACTAAGTTAAGGGGTGGAATTATAGTTTAAATGTTATGAAAAAAATTAAAATATTAATTTTTAATGTGTGCAAAGTCATTGAACCATATACTTAATGAAATTTTTTAGACAGTTTAATATAGTTAAAATAGCATACCAAAAAAAAAATATAGTTAAAATAAAATCAATATTAAAGAAATGAGTTTTTTTTGGTAAAAACAAAAAAGTGTGCAAGTCAAAAAACTATAATTAGGGGAAGATCTTCTAGGGGAGGACGAGTTATGACCATATTGTAAATTTTAAAAGCTCTGCCAAAATACTTTAAGAAATTATACATAATTTCCTCTAAGCATTGTTAAAACATCATATGTTGGCCTTCCATAAAGTTTCTAAAGATTAGCGCCATATACTCTCCTACTACTAGTATCCATACATAATAATCCTCCGGAAAATTGGTGGATTAAACGAAGAAAGTTTGGTAAAAGGAGCAGTGAGGTGTCAAAATTCTTTTAAGAGTTGGCTGTGGAAAGAAAAGAAAGAGAGGCCTTACTGTCTACGAATAACACACTCCTACCAGTCTCGCGCTCTGATTAAGTACTCCCAAGTCATATCTGGTCTCTACCTTAGGTAAATATCTATGGTTTAGTACCATTCACTCAGTGCATCTATCCAATAGAAAATAAGGAATGACTGTCATGCTTTATGGAAAGGAGAGAAAAATATTTTTTTTATCCAAATGTCACTTATTAAATGGCAGATGTACCTACTTCTACAGATGTATAGAAGATACTCTCCTACCTTAGGGTACCATTAATAATGAATAACTACAATGCACCATTAACAAAAACAAACAAAATAGCTACAAACATGGGTTGGGTGTCAAAACAAAAATCATGGGGGGCAGTCAGGTAATAATGAGGTGAATGAAAAATAAGACCCCAACAGCAACCTTTGGTAAAGAAGAAAGAAAAATACATGATACTATTCATAGAAGCTACTGTTGCACATAATGTACAAAATATGTAAAACTTTTGTTTCCTTTTTATTTTTACAGTTACCTGAGTAGTGTAAAAAACACTAGAAATTCATTTAGAAAGATGTGATTTACAATTTTCTAGGCCTAATTTCACTAAGGAAGTAGTTTGGTATCCCCTTAAAATGGCAGATGGGAAATTTAGGGATTGTTTTCTTTTCCAGTTTTCCATGTATACTTTTTTTTAAGTGTATACCCAACAAGACCTTAAGTGGTATAAGTGGAGGAGTGAGGTAAGTCGAGCCTATTAAGAATACCGGTAGCTTTTCTCTTGGCCCTTGAAGTCCCTGATTGTGCTAGCTTAGACAGTGTACCATTGGCCATTTCTTCTTCTCCAATTTCCTTCCGCTTTGTCCTATCATGGAGACAGATTACATATAAGATTGCAACAGAGTTTTCATTGATGCGTTCTGACATGCTCTCTCTTAAAATACCCAGCAAGAAGGGGACAGCACCATTATTTCCCAATGTTTCAATAGCCACGGTATGGCTACAGAGGAGTGCCAGCAGAGACAACAACTCATCAACTAGAATGTGGTCCATGATCTTGCTAAGAATAACCTGTACTGCCCCTTCTCTCACAGTCTTCTCTCTATTTTCATGCTCAATACATAGGTTGAATATGGCTGAAGCAGCATCTTTCATTGCTGATAAATTTCCCCCCTCTAAAAGGTGAACCAAATATTTGATAGCTCCAGATTTTCCAATAATGAGCTTGTTGGAATCAAGCGCTGATAATGAGAAAATAGCTGCTGCAGCATTGCTTCTTGTTTGAATGGTTCCGGATTTCAAGGAATCAATAAGCAGGGAGATAACCTTTTCATCCTCTCCAAACACTTTCTTATTATCTTCATGAATTGAGAGATTTAGAACAGTTGTGATCAAGTCCTCATGGAGCTCAGGATCAATACAAGCCGTGCCAGCTAATAATGGACTGAGCAATCGTTGAATCATTTCTGGCTCCCAAAAAAGCCTTCGAAATGAAGGCATTCGTTTTGTTAACTGACGAAGCTCTTTTGCACCTTCTTTTTGATCAGAAACAGACAATGACAAATTATGAAGCAATGAATGTAAACGTTGTATATGTGCATCAGTTACTTCTCCATCATCAGTGTCCCCTACAGGCTTTGGTAGCTCAATTCCATGCTCTTTGCACCACTGTGAAATCAAGTCTTGGACCAGGCAATTCGGTGTAAGGATAGAGTGAGAGAGGACTTGTTGGCTCTCAGGGCAAATTCTGTAGACTTCATTCAGCCACCTCTGGATGAATGGCCGATCATAAGTCTGCAGCATTAAAACATTAATTAAGGAATCCAGCAATGATACGCAAATAACATTGAAACTCTCATGTGGACAAAGCTCCCCGACTTGCAAGAATCGGGACGAGAGTCTATTGTACACAGCCTTACCTTCACATTTTTGCAAAGAGGCTGTTTACATATTTGAATATATGATCTTCCAATCCTAAGGAGCAACCTTACTGCTACTCCAAAGCTTGCCTTCAAGTAACACCACCACCCCCTGCCCCTAAAATCCTTTATACAATTAAACCCCATCATAACTACCTCTCAATCTGCCAACAAGCAACACTCAGATCATCCAAATAACTAAAAATGCAGCCAGACAAAACATGAAGACAGTGCCAAATTTGAACCCAGTGATACATCAAAAGCAAGGAAAAAAAGAAGGGTTATGTTCTCTTGAGAGTTGTGTATTTATTAGATAAAAGGTATAAGAAGACCAACTCTAACAAGTTACAACATATTATTATAAATTTATAATAACCATTTATATGTATAAAAACAAATCCATGTTAAAGAAAGCAATTCATATGATACGCTGAAATGCTTAAGCAAGCATTCAAGAATTGATCTTTATGACAGAGAGTGAAAGGAAAATGATAAACCTGTCCACTGGCCAAGATTACAGGATCAGTCATTAATTGTCCTGAGATGGGGCATCGAAACTGTGCAGGAACAGGTACATGGTTCAATTTCTGTGAGAGGGAGGTGCTGCATTTCAAATCCTTGAGAGAAGAAAGAGCAATGATAGCCTCGTCGGCAGCGTTCACCTGGTAGTCATCGCCGTCCACGATACTCTTAACCAATTTCCGCAACTTATCTTTCAACTTCTTGTCGGTGGCCATTACAAAAAAGAGAATTTGAATTGAATTGCAACTCGACAGAAGATAACCAAGATGAACACGGAGAAACAACATTCACCAAATCAAGGAACAGATAATGGAATGATGGAGCTGATTCACAAGATGTTAGTTTTTGATGAATCTTGATAACAGAATTAGAAAGAATAGCATGCCACAAAATTTGTCTGCGTAGCGATGAGTGTAATAAAGCCACAAAATGTGTCAGTTTAAATCTAACGTGTAAACTATTAAGAGTCCATGAGGCATGCACTTTCCGCCCCAACCATGATCTATATTCAACAAAAAGAAAAATAATAATTAGGAGTTCTTAAATTTTTTTAGTTTCATAGATTTCCAAATACATGTTATTGTTATTTAGAAGAAAGTGGGTGATATTAAATCACTAAATATTTGAATCCATGTATAGAACAAAAGATATAAATGATTACAATTATCAAAAAACGCAGTGCAATAGTAAATTAGAATAGCCTTATAGGATGTCAGATTGTGAGACTGAATGATCAATGTGTGCAAAATAATTGAGGAATAAATCCGAGCCCACAAAATATGTTTCTTTAAGACAATTTGCCTGATGCCAAAGATTGATGAACACTTGTCTCCCAGGATAGAACGGATTTCATCTGAATAGCAGTGGCGGAGCCGGGCTCAAATTTGAGCCCAAGCCAAAAAAATTTAAGTGTATTTATTTTTCTTAACATTAGTTAGTTCATCTCATAATATATTTAAATTGGGAAATGATTCGTTTATAAATTTTTTTTGCAAATTTGTGCAAATTATACTATATACTCCCGGAAGTACATAGTGTTACCTAGTGTACTTCTGGGAATACATAGTGTAGTTTGTAAGAGTTTGTAAATATAACCTCCCTATTTAAATTATATTAAATATAGAGCACCTGAGTAGACAGCACTAAGAAGAATTATAATTTTATTAAATATTTTTTTTATACAAGTGAAATTTGAACACATAATCTAATACAACTTATCTAAATCTCTTACAAAAAATATTAAGTTTTAGATAGGACCAAAATACAAATTGTAGCCTGGGCCAAATTATAATATTAACCTGGGCCAAATTAAAATTAATTATATAATTACATATAATAAGTATAATTTGTTAAAATTTAGCCTGGGCCGAGGCTACACCCAGGATGTACCTGGCTCTGGCATTACCAATCAACAGCCCAAACGAACACAACAATATGCAAACCGGATGAAGGAAAAAAATCCCACGAAATAAGAGTGAAGAAAAATTAGATAAAATTTCTGAAGGGGTCAGGGTCTATTTATAGATACTGACCGGTTACGATGAACCGCCGCAGGCGGTGAATCGCCGTGACTGACGGCCGCGAACGATGACCGGTTCGCGAAAGGTAAGAGCCGATTCTTTTCAAAAAACCGACGGGAAGAAACGTTTGGTTTTGAAGAAACTAGAGGGAAGCAACAGATAGGCACAATGGCATTTTGAACAAAAAATTAAAAATTAAAATAATTTAATAAAAATATTTTTATTTTACACGCACGAACCGAACTGATCCGAGCCGGCCGAACGGCGGCGTGTGTGTGTGTGGTGGGGCCTACGGCCACCTAACTCCTCTCCCCTCCACAAAAGTGTAGTATCCCAAGGGACAATTTAGGAGTGTGAGGTAGGAGCTTATAAGTTCTCTCACCTGCTACTAGTTGTCCAATGTGGGACTCTTCTTAAAACTCACACACCCCTTCAACTTCACTATTTTATTTTCTTCCTTAACCCACTTCTTATTTATAACCAATAGATTATCTAAACAAATTCCAACAGTTATGAGATTAATCATCGCTTACTAAATAATAAAATAAATTCAATTCAAGACTTGTAATAATCAGCTCTCTAACGGGTTGATTCACAATTCTAATTATCTCTTTGAGGCGAGTGGACTCCTCTAACTATTACTATAAGTTTCATTCTTTAAGTCAGTTATGAGATTAATCCGGAGTACAGGACGAGTCAGGAATGAAGATATTTAAATCGCTCCTAAAGGTGGTACGTAAGGATCGAAGCGAGGCCCTTTCCTTTCCACTTACTCAATTCTCTTGCTACCAATTGAGCTACCATCATTTCATATATATATATATATGGTTGATTGTGTTAGGAATTCAAGTTCGAATTTCTGCAAATTAGTTTAATAGTCAATCCTACAGTCCGCTCTGTTTTGACGCATATAATTTAATAAAGGGAAAAGTTCACCAATGCCCCTGTGGTTTACTTCAGAATCATTTATACCCCTGTGTTTTTTTTCTTATCACATATGCCCCTGTGGTTTGTAAAAGGGTATGTTTTTTATCATATATACCCCTGTGGTTTCTTATTTTTTGCAAAGCACAGGGGCATATGTGATAAAAAAAACCACAGGGACATAAATGATTCTGAAGCAAACCACAGGGGGAATTGGTGAACTTTTCCCTTTAATAAAACATTCTTTTAACCTATATAATATATTAATACTATGGTTAACATAAAGGAAAAAATATTTCTCCAGTCACCGGAGATAAAGTTATCTCCAGTGAGCTCAAAATGACGTCGTTTTGTGATTATAAGATTAAAAAATTATAATAATAAAAACTAATATAATCCTGCAATATATTACAATTACAAAAATACCTTGATTTTCGCCCCAAAACAATGTCGTTTTGTGCTAACAGGAGATAACTTATCTCCGTTGACTGGAAAAATCCTTTACGCTAACATAAATCATGAATCCTTAAAGTTTATAATATTATATTTTATGAAAACTGAAGACAAAAAGACTATGATATTGGTGGAAGACAAACAACAAGACAAATGATAGTAGTTTAATTGACACAAAGGAACTGAGTAGGTAGAGATAATATGTGTTCGATCTTTTCTAGTATTATTTTTGAAAAAAAATTAAAGCCTTAATCTCGAAACCTGTCTCGAATCAAACTAGTAACGAAACAATGAACTGATTAGAATATCTAAAAAAAAATTGCCTGCAAAATAAATATGGGATGACGAAACAAAAAATGGAAGAGTGGGAGATATGTACAATATATACAATACATATTTGGTAGTAAGTAGTGATTTATCACGAAGAACGAAGAAAAATAACTTATACAAGTGTTGAATGTGGATGAACTGATTGACATGGCCAAATAAGCAAGCTTTGTATTATTTTGTGTCTATTTCAGACATTAAATCCGTTACTTTAAACATCTTTGTGTGTGGACTTTGTGGTCATACCACACATAAGCCACCAAGTGTGTATTTTTGCAGACTTAACGTTTAAAGTGAAATAATTAATATTAGGGATTTAAATAACTTCACGTGGTTTTACCTTTGAATCAGTTATCTCCTTATATTATATTTTTTTATCATTTATCCCTTGTACTTTTTTTATCCAAGTCTCTCCTTAATAGTGTTATAGTTTCTATTTATTATGACTAGTTTGTCCGTCTTACAAAAATATACTTTATCTTGGGTCATCTTATTTCCTAAACTTTGCAAGGATTTTTTATCATATAAATTTTTTTCAATTTTAGATAAATTTTTTGAAGTTAGGGAATAAATTTTCTTTTGATGTTTCTAATAAGCAAGTAAAATAAATTAAAAATGTTATTTAAATTTCAAAATCAATTATAAAAAATTAACCAGAAAAATAACATTAATATAAGATAGAGTGTCACAATAGCTACTAAACTATAATGATAAACTCATGAGTAATTTATTAGAAAAATTTTTGTTGGGTATATGTTTTATTCATGAATGGTTTTTGCTAAGTATACCTTCTCAAAACTTTTTCTTAAATATGACTACGAGAATTACCTGTGAGAATTTATTTACGAATAAAACATATACCCAGCAAAAATTATTCTAATAATTAGTCATGAGAATTTACCAATACAATTATAGTACCTATTGTGGCACTTATCCTATATTAATGTTATTATCTAGTTAAATTATGTTTTTGAAATTTAAATATTATTTTTTTATTTTACTCGCTTCTTAGAAACATCAAAAGAAAATTTATTCCCTTATTACAGGAACTTCACAAATTATATCTGAAATTGGAGAGATTTTTTATATGGTAAAAAACCTTGTAAAAGTTTGGGGAAGAAGATGCACAAGGTAGTTGCTAAACTGTATTTTTGTAAGAAGGGTAGAATAATCATAATAAATAGAAATTCCAACACTTATAAAGAGAGACTTGGATGGAAAAAAGAACAAATAAGATAAATGATAAAAAATAAAGCACAGGGGTAAGTAATTTAAAGACAAATTATGTGGGGGTTTTTTGGACTTTTTCCATTATATTATTTGGACTTGAAATAGTGCTGATACTTTTTTTAAGTGTAATTATTAACCACAGATGTTTAGTTGTATGATAACTAGGTAGTTAAGAGTCAGATATTAGTTAGTATTTATGTAACTGAGAAAGTATTCATCCAACAAACTAGAGTTTTAAATTGGATAAAAGATACTGAGTGTGATAGAACGACCAAATTTCAGACAAAAGAATCGAGTAACGAAACACAGGCACTATCTATAACACGGACACTATCTGCAAGTATACAGGAGAAAACATCAACACTAAAAAAAATGCTATTTATCCTACATCAATTTCTCGTGATTTATTCAATTATACAATTCAGTCATTAAATTGGTCAGATTCATGCCAGTCCATAAAAGAGATGACAAAAAGACAAATGAAAGAATTAAATCGTACACTTTATTAAAATCAAGGATTAAATAACGAGTGATATATGTTTTCAAAGATTAAAATGGCACTTTCCTCAGTCTAAACAAGTGAAGCTGGCACATTGATAAGCATGAAATAGTATTGTTAGCAGAGAAGCGGAATTTCCAAACTTTGTTCCTCTAGTATCAAGAAACACGCTTGGGATTTTGGTATATATTTTGAAGCACAACTATTTCAATAATTGATTTTTTTTTTAAACCATTGCACATAGTCTTATCGTTGCAAAACAGCCCTATTTCAATAACTTATTTTTTTAATATAAGTTTTTAGGTAATTATTTTTTCTTCCAAATATCAGAACGCTTTCCACGCAAAATGCCACCTCTGAATTAGGCTTACAATTTTTTCAGGGGGAGGGGAGAGCACCATGTGAAGCTGCTGCAAGCTGTACCCTGTCATATGATGTGGACGGCCCAAATCTTCGCCCGGATTTGGTTCATCTTTTATTCGGGCCCCCAGCCTCTAATTCAGATATATGGGCCAAACCTTCAAGACTTACGTATGAATTTGAATTTAAGAAGAATACGTATCTTTTAAAGGATACAAACTTAGATATTTTTAAGAGAGAGATAAACATAAAGATGTGTGAATTTCATTGAAAAAATAAAAAAAATAAAAAATATGAGTCTTATCTCTTTATGTATATCTCTCTCTTCAAAGACATAAATTCGTGTCCTTTAAAAATACACAAACTTTTCCCTTTAAATTTCCATATTCCCCTGAAATTATGCAAAACATGCACACCATGTTTGTCCAACTCGCTATTGGTTAAGATATTAAAAATGCCAAAAATAAAAGGGAAATGTTAGGGTATGGTAGTTTTGTCGGGACAATGGACCATTTTGTTACGTTATTGGAAAAAATTTATCGGAATGTCACATTTCTTAAAAAATTTGTCAAAATGTCACGTTACCAAAAACGCTATAACATGTGGCATTTTACGTTTGGACACGTGACAGCGAGTTTGAGGCCACATATACTTGCTGAATAGTCCAACATTTTTAACCAATCAACGTGTTAGGCCTAAGTTGCTTTAGTGTATAGCTCGTTATGTGACATTTTGGCATGTGGAGAGAAAGGACTGAAGTCGCCGGATAGTGCAGAGACTATAATGCAACGTGGCATATGCATATGGAGTGTCATGAGAAAATAATAAAGATGATTTAATGTCCAATAAATGCTGATTTATTTTTTATTTATTTTTTGGAAAATATAATAAATAATAAAGACGATTTACTTTTCCAAGTAGCGTATGTAAGCATGGAAAAACATTTAACAGTTGCATCTTGCATGATTCAAACCTACCGTTATCAGCCTAATGAATTAATCAATTCTGCAAATTTAATGTTCAATAAATGTTGATTTGTTTTTTGTTTCCTTTTTGGAAAATATAATAAACAATAAAGATGATTTGCTTTAAGGAAAAATATTTGATATAATTTTATTGATTTTTAATTTAATGTCCAATATTTTTTTTTGCAGAATTGATTAATTTATTGAGCTAATATATTAAATTAGAATAAAATAACTCTGCAGCTATATTAACTTGTAATCCTAATGGACATTAAATTAAAAGTATTAGCCCAATGAATTAATCAATTCTACAAAAAGAAATATTGGACATTAAATTAAAAATTAATAAAATTATATCAAATATTTCCCTTAAAGCAAATCATCTTTATTGTTTATTATATTTTCCCTTAAAGAAAATCATCAAAAAGAAAACAAAAAAACAAATCACCATTTATTAGACATTAAATCGTCATATGGACACTCCATATGCATATGCCATGTTGCACTATAATCTCTGCAATATCCAGGAACTTCAGTCCTCTCTCTCCACGTGTCAAAATGTCACATAACAGTTCAGTAAAATGACTTAGGCCTGATAAGTTGATTGGTTGAAAATGTTGGACTGTTCAGCGAGTTTACGGGCCTCAAAACTCACTGTTACGTGTCCAAACGTGAAACACCAAGTATTGTAGCATTTTTGGTGACGTGACATTTTGACAAATTTTTTAGGGAGCGTGGCATTCTGATAAATTTTTGCCAATAACATGGCAAAATGCAATGGCGTAGCCACATCCACATCAGCAGATGCCTTGGCGTCTGCTTGTTTTAATTTGTTTTTTTTACTTACTATATATATATTATATAATTAATTATAATTAACCAAGGTTAAAATTATAATTTTGGCACCACCTAAATAGAAAATCAAATCTAATATTCTAAAGGAAACTCATTCTTTGGCAAGTATGCTGACGTGTCGCTTTCTCCTTCACTTTCAGCTTTGTGTTCACACTACAAAATATTTGAAATCTTTCCTTCTTTGGTAAAAAAGAATAAAAAGAAAAATATATTAAATAAAATTGAATTTGTAATTAAATTCAATTTAAAAATATGTTAACAATTGCTGGCGGCAGACAACTCATCCAATGTCCCACTACTTTATGAAATCTTGATTTTCAATTTTTAATTTGAATTTTAATTTTTAATTTGAATTTGAATTTGAAT